AAATATAGCACACCTTAAAGAGTATATTTCTTTATATATATATATATATATATATATATATATATATATTTAAATAATGATAGCATTAGCTTTTCTAATATATATATTTTTTTTTTTTTACACCTTACCAGATTTCTTTACTCAACTCTTGGTAGATGGTGGGGATTTTATTTTTTTCTAATTCCAGTAAGTTTGCATTGCAAAATATGATCCCAAAATGAAAATAGAAGTTGGAGAAGGAGAATTTTTTTTTTTTAAATTTGTATTGCTCAACAGAGCATATAAACCAAAGTTTAAAAAAAAGCTCAAGTAAACTTTTTTTTTGACATTAGTTTTAGCAACTTACTAGTAACATTTGAAGAGTTTCTTAAAAAAAAAAAAAAAAAGTGAATAAGTATTACCAATGCTAAGGACTCACTAAAACGGTATACATTACAATATTAGGTTAAATTGTAAAAATTACACATGGGGAGGGGGATTAAAAAAAATAAAATTAACATGACCCACTACAGAAAACCTGACATACATATTTGTCAGCCCTAGCACATCTGCTTGTATATGTTGGAAAGACTTAGCATACTGGCATGTAAAGATTTTGGTCCAACTACATAAACTGATCATACAACTTTATTTGATCGTTTAGATTTTATCAGTAGTGTCTGTTGACCTAGAGAATTGGAAAATAAATTGTTGCATTTTCGTAGGTGCCATGTAACAGAAGGCCCACAGCTTGAAGCTGAAAAAAGACCATGCAAAACTAGTTGGCCAATAAGAAAATTTGAGATGATAAAGTCATGGCATTATGCAAATTTCTAAGTAGGAATTGTTCCATCTTATTAACATGAGTGTAAAGTGCCTTGACAAGTGATTGTAGTTGATTAACTTGCCTTAAAAAAAAACAAAAAAAAAAACAACACTAAAATTATGGTTAAAATTTCTGTTGAAACAATGATGAATGGTGTGACTATAAAAGGGGAAAATAACTTAATAGAACCAGATGTCTGGAAATTGAGAAAATGTTAAAAAAAAAAAATAAAAAAAAAAAAAAATCCAAAAAACATTTGCTACTACTGGAAGTGTTTTAAGTGCAAAGAAAACTGAACACCACAAAAGTTAGACAAAATAGATGAAAAGATTGTGAGAGTCTCAGTAGGCAATCCAAAATTAACAGCCAGACAAATGAGTGAATGCAGTTTTAACAATAAGATTTCAGATGATAGAGTATGCAGAGTATTACAAAAAACAAATCATTAACTAAAAAAAAAAAAAACATTGTAACCAAAGATTGAAGTTGGTCAAAAGAACATCTAACATGCTAGAAAATGACAAAAAGTAATTTTTTTGTGATGAATACAAAATAAAGTCATATTCTAATGCAAGAAAATATGTAAGATGATCTGTAGGAGGAAAAATAAACAATGCAATATACAGCAAAGATGGTAGTGGACATGTAATGGCTTGGAGTTGCATCAGAAGTGACAGCAGAAAATTGGTAAAAAGTTGATAGAATATTAAAGTGAAAATTATTAGTTTACTATGGTCTAATCTGCCAGACTATGAAGATAAAGAAATCTTTCAGCATGATAATGCTCCTTGCCTCACACCACATGCAACAAAGGTATTTTTTGGATGAATGGGGAAAAAATTCCCAATTAGAAAATCTGCACATTGTTCCATTCAATGCCACATTGAATTGAGGCAGTTATTAGAGCCAAAGGCAGCAATAGTAATTACTAACTCAATACTTTGAACTTTTGTATTTTCTGTAATAAAAATCAACTTTTGCTAAAAAAAATAAATTCCTTTTTAACTTTAGAAAATGGCTAAAATGTGAACTTTTTGCTAGTGGCCCAGTATTTTTGCATGATCTCTTTTCAGCATCATTATACTTAAGATGCTATATCATCCATCATAGAGCATTAATGAAAATGCAGTAACTTGTTTTCTGTCCCTCAAAAATCATAAAATGCAATAAGAAAAGCATATTGCTAATCACTCAATTTTAGGGTAAAATTAACTTACCACGGTGGTTCAAAAGTCTCGCAGTGTACCTGCTAAATTATTTCTATAATCTCAGCAATAGAGAACTAGTTTAAAACAGGATCCAATTGCCAAAACAATCAAGTTTTTGTGAGTAAAATGTTTACTTTGTGTAGGTATCCCAAACTGCCATAATATACAGTGCAAACATGTCAAAATAGTGAATTTTCTTTCCATTTCAACTGCCGATATCGTTTATTTTGATAAAATTTGTAAGTAAACAGAATTTGATCTTTCCTCTTTCTGGAGAGGATAATCTTTCTCATGTGTGATTATTAGTTTTTATTCTATGTTTAAATTAGGTTACTATTTC